AAAAGCAATGAGTTCCATGAATCTGGGATGTCTGGAAAGCTCCACCGAGGTGGTGACGCTTGAGCTGAACCTTGAAAGATGCGTGGATGGGGAAAATGGAGTTCTCCCAACTGAGCAAATAGCACCTGGGAAGGCTCAGAAGCCAAGGGCCCGGAGGGGTGGGCAGTGAGGTGGGAAACGTGCGTGGAGCCAGGTCATGGAAGCCTTGCTCGTGCTGGGTTAGGGAGCTATGGTTTTTATTCTGTGCCTAGGGCCACCATGAATCCAGACCGTGCCTTTTTAAGATGAGCAAAAGGCATCTTTCCCTGTGGGCAGGCAGCGCTTCACGCAGGGTGCAGTGCTGGGCCCATGCTGGGGAGAGGGGACTCCCGGGCAGGCACAACCGGCTCAACATCGATAGCCCTGGCTGCATGTCACGGGAGGTGTTTGAGCAGGGTTTGTGTCTTGTGCTGATCATTTGAAAATGGAGGGTGGGTTTGAGTGTGGAGTGGGCAGGCGAGGAGACGAGGAGGGACAGACAGGGCTGGGCAGGACCTGACGTCCGGATGAGCCTTCCTAGGGAGGCTAAGCCAATGTCCGGATGCGCCCTCTCAGGGAAGCTTGCTTAGACTATGGACCAGAATCGTGTGGAAAGAGGAGCAGGGAGGTTGTTCCGGGGAATGACTTGAACCACCCAGGGGAGAGGCTGTGCTAGGCCCAGGGTGACTGGCCAGCCGGAGCCAAGGGGAAGGGAGTGAGCGTGAGGCCCCAGGCCTGAGCACGCTCCTGACTTTTCCCTTGCCCACCCGCTCCAGAGCTGGGGGACCTCCCTCTGGTCCGCCTGGATTTCTCCTGTAACCGCGTCTCCCGCATCCCGGTCTCCTTCTGCCGCCTCAGGCACCTGCAGGTCATTCTGCTGGACAGCAACCCCCTGCAGAGCCCGCCTGCCCAGGTGAGGCGAGGGCCCAGGGGGCCACAGGGACAGGGGTGTGGCTGGGCAGGAGTGGGGTTGGTCCTCTTGGGCAGCCGAGCAGGATCCGGGGAGCTGCCTTCCCTGCCAGCTCCCCAGCGTGTGCTGCCCCGCACACAGGTCTGCCTGAAGGGGAAACTTCACATCTTCAAGTACTTGTCCACAGAAGCTGGGCAGCGTGGGTCAGCCCTGGGGGACCTGGCCCCTTCTCGGCCCCCGAGTTTCAGTCCCTGGTAAGTCCTAGGTGGGGAGCAAGGAAGCCCTGGGATACTGAATGCCCCTTCTTGGCCCCAGGTACCCCCTGCTTTCTGGGAGGATTGGGGGCTGCTGTCCAGCATCAGGCTGACCAGATCTCCCTGGCTGGCCCCAGCCCTGCAGAGGATCTGTTTCCGGGACATCGGTATGATGGCGGGCTGGACTCAGGCTTCCACAGCGTTGATAGTGGCAGCAAGAGGTGGTCTGGAAATGAGGTAAGGGCGTCCTGTCCATGGGAAATTGGGGGTGTCAGCCCTGGGAGAGGACCTCTGAACTGGGGACCTCCAAATTGCAGGGTACCAGGCAGAGGCTGGAGCTGTCCTCTTCCTTCCCTCTGCCCAGCATCCCAGGGAGGGGCTGGCTCAGCAAAGACCCTGAGCTTAGTCCCACACAGGACCCCCCAGGCCCCAAGCCCCCATGTGCAGAGAGGCCATCTCCCATCTCAGCCTCTGCCTTTACAGTCAACAGATGAATTTTCAGAGCTGTCATTCCGGATCTCAGAGCTGGCCCGGGAGCCCCGGGGACCCAGAGAACGCCGGGAGGACGGCTCAGGTGAGTAGCAGGGCTGGCTGGGAGCTGGGCTGGACCAGGGTCCCCACTCACTTGCTGACATGCTGGCCTCCCCAGCGGACGGAGACCCTGAGCAGATTGACTTCATCGACAGCCACGTCCCGGGGGAGGATGAAGAGCGAGGCACTGTGGAGGTGAGAGCCCAGCTGTGCCTCTCCCAAGGGAGGGGAGCTAGAGCAGGGGACAGGGCAGGCGTGGGCACAGGCCTGCTCTCAGCTGCTCTGCTGTTCTCTCCTTAGGAGCAGCGACCACCCGAATTAAGCCCCGGGGCAGGGGACAGGGAGAGGGCACCAAGCAGCAGGTATCCCAAGCCCTGAAACCGACGCCACTGCCTGATCCACCCATCCCCCAGCCCCCTCCTTCCCTGACCCCAGGGTCTGCCCCTCTCACCCTGTCTTGGTCCCTCAGGCGGGAGGAGCCGGCAGGGGAGGAGCGGCGGCGCCCGGACACCTTGCAGCTGTGGCAGGAGCGGGAACGGCGGCAGCAGCAGCAGAGTGGGGCATGGGGGCCCCCCAGGAAGGACAGGTGGGACCCAGGGCCGCCCGGGGCTGTTGTCAGACACTGAGCCCTGGAAATGGGGCCACCGAGCCCCACTAAGCCGTTCTGCCTCGGGGCTAGCTGACCCCACCTCTCCTTGTTCCAGCCTCTTGAAGTCAGGGCTCAGGTCTGCTGTGGGAGGAGCCACCGCCATGTCCACTCAAGCCACGCACAAGTAGGTTTCCTGCCAGCATCCGGTCCCCACTCCTCTTCCCATGACCATCCCTCTAACTCCCTTCTGTCTCTCCTCAGTGGCCCGCCTAAGTCCAGTGCCTCCCAAGCGGGAGCTACAGTGGGGCAGGGAGCCCCTGCCCCTGCCCCCGCCTCCCAAGAGCCCCTTCCCATAGCTGGACCAGGTGGGACAGGGACTTTGGGAGGAGGATGGGGCCTGTGTTGGTGAGGGCTGGTTGGGAGAGAGGGACACAGAGGGGATGCCTGTCTCACCTGTCCCTGTTGCTGTGTCCCTGGTTCTGGCCCCAGCAACAGCACCTGCTCCGAGGCCACTTGGCTCCATTCAGAGACCAAACAGCTTCCTCTTCCGTTCCTCCTCTCAGAGTGGCTCAGGTGGGTGTCCCGCCCTCCCCAGTGCTGACCCAGTGCTTGCCAGCAGCAACTGCTACATCACCCTTCTGCCCTGGGAGCCCTCTGGGTCTGTTGTACCTTTGTGTTGAAAATTCCACAAATAAGCTGGGTGTGGTGGCTCACACCTGTAATTGCAGCACTTTAGGAGGCCAAGGTGGGAGGATCGCTTGAGCCCAGGAATTCAAGACCAGCCTGGGCAACATAGCGAGACCCCATCTCCATGTAAAAGAAAAAGAAAATCCCACAAGCAGAGAGGCAGGAGGTGTGGGTGCCAGGCCACTGGGACCCAGCTACAGAGTCAGTGGTGAGCAGTGGGGGCAGCCCCATGCCCTGCTTTTTCTCCTAGGCCCTTCCTCACCAGACTCTGTCCTGAGACCTCGGCGGTCCCCCCAGATTCCAGATGAGAAGGACTTAATGACTCAGCTGCGCCAGGTGAGCAGAGCTGGGAGCTGTGTGGGCAGGGACCTGGGCCGGGCACCTCCTTGTGTTGCTGTCCTTGGGACCAGCCTCCCTCCACATCCTCTGTGCCCACTCTGGCACCTCCCCTGAGGACAGAAGGGGACAGGCACAAGTTCCCTGCTGGCCCTGAGCCCCCCACTCTCCCTGCCTCCCAGATACCTCTCCTTCCCTGACCCCTGCTCTATGCGGTCTACACTCCCAGGTCCTTGAGTCCCGGCTGCAGCGGCCCCTGCCCGAGGACCTGGCCGAGGCTCTGGCCAGCGGGGTCATCCTGTGCCAACTGGCCAACCAGCTACGGCCGCGCTCCGTGCCCTTCATCCATGTGCCCTCTCCTGCTGTGGTCAGTTGGGGCCGGGGAAGAGGTGGGGGATGGGCTGGGGCACCTGTGGCCTCTCCCTTACCACATTTTCTTCCTTCACCCACCCCAGCCAAAACTCAGTGCCCTCAAGGCTCGGAAGAATGTGGAGAGTTTCCTAGAAGCCTGTCGAAAAATGGGAGTGCCTGAGGTATGGGGGCTGCTTTCTAAAGAGTGGTGGCATGCCGGGCTCAGCCAGCGTGTGGCATGGATGGCGGGCTTCCATTCGCAGCGGGTGTCTGCTCTCAGATGGAGGCACAGGCTGCCCCTGCCCTGCCTGGCATGCCCCCTGCCCTGCATGTCACCTGTCCTACACGTCCCCTGCCCTGCAGGCCCCATCTTGTCTTGCATGTCACCTGCTTTGCACGCCCCCTGCCCTGCATGTTGCCTGTCCTGCACTCCCGCTGCCCTGCACTCCCCCTGCCCGGCACGTCGGCATGTGGGCGTGGTTCTGGCCCCAGCACGTGAGGGCAGGGGTGGGAGGGACTGTCCTGCTGCTGCTGCTGATATCTGTCCCTTGTCCTTGTCCATCTACTCTCCTCTCCCCCAGGCTGACCTGTGCTCGCCCTCGGATCTCCTCCAGGGCACTGCCCGGGGGCTGCGGACCGTGCTGGAGGCCGTGAAGCGGGTGGGGGGCAAGGCCCTACCGCCCCTCTGGCCCCCCTCTGGTCTGGGCGGCTTCGTCATCTTCTACGTGGTCCTCATGCTGCTGCTCTATGTCTCCTACACTCGGCTCCTGGGTTCCTAGGACCCGAAATCAGCCCTCCCTTACCCCTTTCCCTCCCCCCTTCTATTTATAAGGCCCCTGCTCCACCCGACCCCACCTGCGGTGCCTTCAGCCCCGACCAAAGACACTAGTGCACCCCCTTCACAGACACTGACCTCAGAGGCCCCACTCTGGTGCCCCCAGACCCTGGGCCCCCAGCCTCTGGCCTCCCTCCGGTAGCCCCATGAGTCCCCACCTCTCAGTGCTGACGGTGCCTTCATGTCCCCGCCGGCCCTGCCCCTGCCCTCTGTGCCCCGTGAGGGGTGGCAGGAGCTAGAGTCTCCCCCTTCCTCCTGTGCCCTCCCCTTCCCCCGCAACGGCTGCTATGCGGGGGCTAAATTATCTCTATTTTGTAGAGAGGATCTATATTTGTAGGGGTGTGGGGCCCAGGCCGGGTCCCTGTCTCTGTGTATAAACTGTACAGACCGTGACCGCCTTGCCTGTGTGTGTGTAAGTGTGCGCGCGTCTGCTCCGCGTGGCGGTGGCTGTGGCCATGGCTCTGTGCCCACCAGCATCGCCCTTCTGAGATGCCAGCCTCTCATGCTCCCGGAGCCTCCGCCTCCCCCCGTGTCATCTCCCTTCTGTTATCGCTGACAGCTTTCTTGCGTCTCATTTGTCACCGAGCCCTGAGCGCATGGTGATGCTCGGGTCTGCCCCCGACCCCCTGCCACAGGCCGGAAGCCACGGGGGGCCCCCTGGGGAAGCTAACCCGGCCCCTTCCCCCAGGAGTCACTGTGCCAGCCCCACCACATCCTGGAAGAGGAGGGGGCCCCGGGAAGGGGCCTCCCCTACATCGCTGCTGTCGTCCACGCCCTGCTGGACCGGCCTTAGGGGTGAAGGTGGGGGCAGGGCCCACCCCGCCTGGGACCCCGGGAGCAGAAGACGCGCCTGGGCTCCACGCTCTGAGACAAGCACTCGGTGAGGGCGGCCTGGGCCTGGGCCCCCTTGGCCTGCGGGCCTGGCTGCCTCTGGGACCGAGGGTCTGGGTGGAAAGACCACGGGTGTCGCAGGTGTCGCGTCAGCTGCAATAAACAGAAGCCAGAAGCCCTCTGGGTGGCCCTCAGGTGTAACTGTGTCTGAGAGCACGCGCGTCGCGGGATTGTGGGGGGGGCCTCTGTATCCGGAATTCACCGCCCGGTCGCCAGGGGGCGCCCGCGGGAGCCTGGCGGGGGCACGCGCCACGTGGCCGGGAGACGCACAGGGCGCCGGCGTCGCCGCGAGGCCTCTAGGGTGGGTTCGCCAGGAGGGCTGGTTCGCGCCGCGCGGTAGAGGGAGGCTGAGCGGGCCGGGCCGGGCGGCGGGGACACTGCGGTGCAGCCCTGCGCTCTGGAACGCGGAATGTTGCCCTGGTCGCCGCCACGGTGGGGCGCGGGCCCGGAGGAGGCGCCCGAGGGACTAGGCCTTGTGGCGGGCAAGGACCAGGGCGAGCCCTGGAGCTCCGGAGCGGACGCCCCCAGGGATCTGGGGACATCCCCATGGGACAGGTGAGGGGCTCGGCCGGAGCCGCGGGGGGACAACGACTGGGGACCTCCATGCCTTCACCACGCCCTCTGCGGAGGTTTCTCCATTGTCCTTGCCGGAGTTTGGGTCCCTCGGCCTCCCTTGCACCAGGCACCCTTGGGCTTCAGGGGAAGGTGCGTGGGGGCGGTGTAACTGCAGCCTCAGTCCCTGCCCCTCCAGCCCACGGCCCCCATCCCGTAGCCCTTCCTGGACCCGGAGTGAGCAGCTGCCGCTGCCCCACCGCCTGCCAGGCCCAGCCACTGAGCAGCCCCCCGGAGCCCCAGGTAGGACGGGTCCTGCTGCCTCTACTACCGCCAAGAGCCTCTCTGACTCTGAGCCTGTTTTAATCCCCAAGTGTCCCCCCAGCTCCCCGTTCCCCCCAGGTGGCCTGGGAGGTGGACCCCTCAAGGATGACTCCACTAGCGCCCTGGGACCCCAAGTACGAAGCGAAAGCGGGCCGTCAGCCGGTGTGGGTGAGTTGAGGGCAAACCTGTGGGGCTGGCTGGGGTGTTCAGGGAGCTGCAGGGTGGCCTGAGGCTCCAGTGGTCTGTCCTCCTCACCCTAGGGGGCCAACTGTAGCTCAGGAGCCTCGTTCTCAGGCCGGACGCTGTGTCACCCCTCGTTCTGGCCGCTGTATGAGGCAGCCTCGGGCAGGGGTCTCAGGCCTGTGGCCCCTGCCACAGGGCATTGGAATGGACAGCAGGCGCACCCAGATGCAGGTACCTCCCTTGGTCCTCTGGGGGTGCAAGGCTGCCCCAACTCCTCCCAGAACCAGTGCCCAGGGGTGGGAGCCCACAGCCTGCCACCCCAGTGGTGTTTCCTTCTAGGGTTCCCGGTGATGTGCTGTGAAGATGTCTTCCTCTCGGACCCTCTGCTGCCCCAGGGGCAGCGTGTCCCCCTGTACCTGTCCAAGGCCCCCCAGCAGGTGAGAGCTCTTCCCCCTCCCTGGCCTTACCCCAGCCTCCAGGCGTGCCTGGCAGGAAACACATCCCATTCTCTCTCCTCAGGTGATGGGCTCCCTGAAACTGCTGCCGCCGCCCCCCATTATGTCTGCCTGGGTCCTCCCCCGCCTGTCACCCTCCCGGAGCCCCTCCACCGCCTGGCTCAGTGGGCCGGAGCTGATCGCTCTCACTGGCCTACTGCAGATGAGCCAGGGGGAACCCAGGCCCAGCTCCTCCCTGGCTGACACGCCCCCTGCTGGTCCCCCAGACCCTACCTCTGACCCACCAAGCCCCTGTGGTAGCCCCAGCAGTTCTCAGGGTGCTGACCCCTCTCTCCCACAGACCCCAGACACCCATTGTCCATAGCCTTCTCGGGGCAGAATGGGCCGGTTGTGTTGACAATAAAGCAGTGTTGGTTTGCAAAACAGGCTCCGTGTGGCTGGGAGCAGAGTAGGGCATAGAGGCAGGAATGGGGTCTCTTTCTGTCCCACTACAGATCACCCCCTGCTGTGTTAGGCGGAGGACGGGGGTATCCATGACCTAAGGCGTTTCTGGGCTGACCAGACAGAGCCCCTTTAATGAGTGAGTGGGTGGTCTGCATGGCAGTGCAGAGCTGAATTTATAGGAAACAAGGAGCCATAAACTGCCAGGTGGGGGAGTAAGTAGGGGCACCTTACTTTTAGGGGGCACTAGCGGTAAGATCCCTGGTGCTCCCACACCTCTTGTGCTGGGGCTCCCGGAGTTCAGTTCTGGGCTGGGTGGGGTAGTTGTTTGGCTCAAAGGAGACACAGAACGCACTGCAGGTGTGTGGGGGAGGGTGCCGGTCCACATGAATGTCACCATTGGCAGAAAGGTGGCCCCGCCACAGCCGACCTGAGACTCTAGAGATTCTTGCATGAACTCTGCAGAGAAACAGAGGATCAGGGCTTCAGCTGAGAAAGCCCAGAAGTGTGTAGTTTTGGTGGTTTGGGCGGGGATGGGTTCTAGAATTTTCTCCCATAAAATAGCCCAACTTCTTGGAGAACCTCCTACTCAAGACTTAGGTGCCACAGCTGGAAGGGACAGAGCGGGCAGAGACCCCAGCTTGTTGCCCTGCAGGTCACTTGTCCGAGGTGGCATTTGGGTCTTAAAGTCTCTCCCGTGGTGGGGGGTTAGGAGGCAGGGTGGGGGGCATTACAATACCACTCCCTCCTATCCCTGCCTCAACCACCCCCCAATCAGTCAGCAGGAGAGAGCTGCCTGGGTCTCAGGTCTCCTCACCGGCGCCTCCGGGGAGTTCTAGAACTCAATGCCTGTGTAGCTACGTGGGCGGAGCGTGCAGGCCCTGGGGACGTCACCAAGTGCCCCCAGAGAAAGGACCAGGTCCAGGTCAACATAGCTGAGGCAGCTCGTCAGGGGCTCTGGCCTGGCGGTGACTGTTCGGAGGCTCTCGGGCGGATAACTTGATGCACACTTCCTCCCCAGCCAGCTCTGAGGGGGCCAGGAGCAGCGCTGAGCCCCTACCCGTCCCCAGCCAGCCCCCACATCGTGATGGGCGCTCCTTGGCCTGGGTCCAGGCTCCTGAGCCCAGACTTGTAGGAATGGTCCCCATGGGCTCGTAGTCACTCCCCACTCCCTTGGTTATGTAGCCCCCACCCTGCCCCTTGGGGTAGGAGGCTGCTGCACCCAGCCTTGCCAAGGTCTTGAGGGCTGCTTGCTCGATCCCCTCTCGCAGACACCCCTGATGGCTCAGGCCACTTGACTGGGCCGCAGAAGCCGGGGTCTCAGGGATGGGGAGTCTGAAGATGCTCATAGGAGGGTCCCTGAGCGCCTGGGCCTCATTGTGCCCGGAGAACTTTTTTTTTTTTTCTTTTTTTGAGACGGAGTCTAGCTCTGTTACCCAGGAGTGCAGTGGCTGATCTTGGCTCACTGCAACCTCCGATTCCCTGGTTCAAGCGATTCTCCTGCCTCAGCCTCCTGAGTAGCTGGGATTACAGACATGTGCTACCACGCCCGGCTAATTTTTGTATTTTTAGTAGAGATGGGGTTTCACCATGTTGGCCAGGCTGGTCTCGAACTCCTGACCTCAGGCGATCCTGACCTCAGGCGATCCTGACCTCAGGCGATACGCCCGCGTTGGCCTCCCAAAGTAATGGGATTACAGGCGTGAGCTACCGCGCCGGGCCTGTGCCCGGAGAACTCTAAACATGCAAACCCTTTAATGTTTGAACTTTCGGTGACCTGGGGCAGGGGCGAGCCACGGAGAAACCACAGCCACAAGCCCCCGGGGTCCCCGGCAACCCAGGGCTGGGGCGGCACCGCGCGCCTCGAGCAGGGCGTTGTATCACGCCTGCTGCTCCGCCTCGCCTGCCGCCGCCACGCGCAGGCTGTTGTCGTGGGTGTAGAGGAGGATCAGGTGGTGCTGGCGCGTCTGCGCGCTTGTCACGCGCCCCCCAGGCTTAGGCTGAGCTGGGGCCGTGCCCGGCCCGCCCGAAACTTCTGATCGCTCTCAGAAGACTCGGGACGCGGCGGGTCTGCGCGCAGGTGGCGGCAGAGTCGCACGTCTGCAGGGCAGGCCCAGGGCAGCGGCTGGCTGAGGGGCATGGTGGCCATCCCCGGCTCTCCCCGGGGCCGCCGTTCGTGGGCTTCATTCAGGGCCGAAGGCAATAAAGTGACTGCAGGAGAGGCAGAGATGGCTGGGTCTCGTGTCCTGAGCGCGGGGAGAGGCCAGCAGGGGTGGGGGTGAGTCTGGGCAGGGAGTCCAGCGTCTTGATGTCCAGCGTCTCTCCTGGGCTCCTGACTGGAAGTTTGGGGCAAGGGCTCTGCGCACAGCGAGTGTCCCAGTGGCTGCTGCCCGTGGCCTGGGCTCCCCACTACCTCCCTCCCTCAGCCGACCGCTCCTGAGCCCCCACCCCACGAGACGAATCCTCACGTCGCCCGGGCGCTGGAATTTGAGTAGGGAAGTCCAAGAGAGGCGGCCTCGACGCCAAGACTGAGCCTTTACAGGGGCAGGGAGCGTGGGGGCGTCTCTACCGATCAGCTGACTGCGGTCCGGACACGTCGTCCGGGCAACCGAGAAAGCCTCCGTGTGAGGCCAGTGTGATCGGACTTGTGGCAGCGGTGGTGGCGCTGGCGATTAGAGGGCGGTGGAGCGGGGCCTCCACGCACCCTGCCGGCTTCTGCCGCGCCCCCCTCGGCCTATAGGTGTCCTTCCTGTGTGTAACCCCTTCCCATCCAGGAGTGGTTTTGTGCCCTTCCAAGTAACCCAAGGAGCCACCATCACTGAGCACTACGCTGGATTATTTCTGAGCTGGAGATTCAGTTTCTTGAGGGTTGGGGGTGATAGGAGGTGACTTGGAATAAGTAGGTTCAGGGGGTAGTCCCTGTGCACAGACCATACCCGCTGGAACCCAGTCAGGTGGCCACTGAAGGAGACCTCAGAGGAAGAGGCCATCTCTCAGGAAGACCCCCTCGGGCTGCCCCATTGCTCTGGGCCCCTCCTCACCACCATTGCCCAAAAATGTCACCCCAGGACCACCTGAAGGCTCTGCCCATGGATGTGTGGACTTCCTGGTGGAGGTACCCTTTGCTTCTTGAAAAAATTGCGATTGGGCTGGGGACTGGGCATTTTTGCACTCAGTTCTGATCCAAGGACCACTGACCACCCCCCCCCAGGGGGATGGGGGTGAAGGTGCACAAGACAAACCAGCAGGTGACACCTGGCGGGAACTTAGAGGACCCTGAGATATCACCCAAGGCGACTAAGGTGCCTAAAGGGGGAAGCTGAGAGTCAGGGAGAGGCCAACGTGCAGCCCCCATAAAGATGGCGTTCAGGGAGGAGCTCCCTCAGGCAAGGGACAAGATATGACAAAGACGTAACAAGAGAACAGAAGCAAGGACCCAGACCTAGTGCAAGGGCCAGGGCAGCCTGAGCAGGGCGGGCAGGGCTTCCCACCATGCTTCCTGCTTCTTGGGGAAGGGGCCCCACGTGAGTGGGAATATGGGAGACAAGTGCTGTGTACATGGAGCTGGGGTCCTCGTACACCTATTCCAAGGTCACACTGAGAGGGAGATGTAGGGAACCAACCAGCACCCAACCAGCATGCAGCCTTGCTCCAGGTGACCCCTGGTAAGCCAAAGCCCCACTGGGGTGCAGGAGAGGCTCGCAGCACAGGCGGTGTGGTGTGGGGTGGTGGGTGGGGGGGGCATGGGGCAGGGCTTGGCAACTGCCCAGTGGTAGGTGTTGGCCACAGAGAGGCGATGGCTCCGTAAATGGCCACCAAAACTGGACTGTGTTCAAGGCCATAGCCCCACGTGGCCAAGGGCCTTGATACAGGCACCATGTGCAAAGGGGCAGGGTCACAAAAGACATGTGCATGCCCCTCCCCCTCCCAGTCCTGCTGCTGCCTCAAGGAGGCCACCAAAGGGCCCCTGTCCCTGCTGTACTCCTGGCTCAGGAGCCTTTTTTACTCCCTGAGGCTTGAAGATACCTGAGGAAGATCTCTTTATACCTTCCCCTTCCCATTCCCCATCAACCAGGTCCCCCTGCAGCACCCTTCCTTGTGAAATCACAGCTGCTATGACAGTGACCAGCTCCAAACCACCCTGTCACTGAACCTTGGGTGCTAGGTGATGCATGGGCAGGAAAGGCAGGAAGAGCAGGGATCTGAGGGTCTGGTGTCTGGGCAAGCCTCGGAGGTGGGATGGGTGCTGATCAATGCCAGGTGATCAATGCCAGGTGATCGGACCCACTGAGTACCAGGACAAGCCTGGAGTCACGCAACTGGCCTACATCAGTTGCCTTGGCAACACACTGCCCTTGGCCCTACCCCGAAAATATTTCAGCTGGTAGCCCTGGTAACTTGAGTGGCTCCCCAGGGACAGGAAGTGGCAGAACCTCAGCTCTGCCTCTCCCAACCTGAAGGGTACACTTTTCATCCGTCAGGGACGGGGCACTGCGTTCTCAGCCCCTATGGAGGAATGTTATGGAGTTGGGGGAATCCACAGGGAAGAGACTAGGCTGTTCCAGTGTGCCCTTCCTTCCTCAGCCTGAGGCCTTGCTCCTCTGTGGAAGGCAACACAGGGACAGAGCCACACCTTCAGCCCCTACCCTCAGCCCTGCTCCCATCTCCTGGCCCGCAGGTCTGACCTGCAAGCTCCAATGTGGAGACACTTGGGGGCTTACTCCTGCTTCCTCACACATGGGGATGGCCCACAGGTGACCGGCTGAATGCTGGGGCCATGCTAGAGGACTGCTGTCAGCAGAGCACGGTCAGAAGACCGGTGTGAGCCCAGGCAAGCCACTGTAGCCCCATGGTGTGTGCAGTGGGTTTGAATCTGCAGCTACCAGGCAATGTTTTCTCCATTTCCTCTCAGGCCAGGCCTTTCTCCATTCTTTGCTGCTCTCCAGGAGAGGTGGCTCATTGTGCTGGAGCCTGAGCTGCTGAGGCTGCCCCAGCCAAGGAGGGCAGCTCCTAGTGTCAGCCTGTGCCCAGAGAACCCTGGGGCCTGAGGCTGACCTGGCGTTAACTTCTTACTGCTCATCTAGCTCTGGCAGCGAGCAGGCTGGAGTCCTTGTGGGCTGGAGGGGAGGGAGTCTGCAGGGAGGACCCGGGTCTGGACCCAGACAGTGAAGAGATGCCGGGACACAGTATGGGGTGACAGAAGTGGGGGAAAGCCCTTCGGTTTAGCCTCAGTTCCAAACCTCGGTGCTCCTGGCATAAGGCAAGCTGGTGGGGGAAGAACAGAAAGGCTCCTCCCCCTAATACACCATAACAGATTCCAGCTGCCCTCCCTCCAGCTCTAAGCAGAAAGGAAAGAACTGGTAAGAGTATTAGGTAGAGGGACACAGAAATAATCTAGGGTGGCAAAGAGGGGAGAAAGAGAAGAGATGGAACAAGCGAAGGTCAGGGAGCGAAGCGGGAGACTACCCAGGAGACAGAAGGAGGGCAGAGGCTGGGAGAAGAACAGGAACAGAAAAGATGGGTCCTGATTTTTGGAAAAGACAGGGATGCCAAGCCCGGCCTAGAAAATAGCAGCAGCTAGAGGTATTTCCAGAAAAATCTTTTTTTTTTTTTTTTTTTTTTTTTGAGACGGAGTCTCGCTCTGTAGCCCAGGCTGGAGTGCAGTGGCCGGATCTCAGCTCACTGCAAGCTCCGCCTCCCGGGTTCACGCCATTCTCCGGCCTCAGCCTCCCGAGTAGCTGGGACTACAGGCGCCCGCCACCTCGCCCGGCTAGTTTTTTGTATTTCTTAGTAGAGACGGGGTTTCACCGTGTTATCCAGGATGGTCTCGATCTCCTGACCTCGTGATCCACCCGTCTCGGCCTCCCAAAGTGCTGGGATTACAGGCTTGAGCCACCGCGCCCGGCCCAGAAAAATCTTCAAAGTAAATACACAGGTCGCCCAATTCCCATATCTCTTTGCTGCTCTCTGTGGAAGACCCAGACAAACCCCAAGAATGAACGGCCACGGGGCCAGGGCAATGGTGGAAAGGGAGGGGCCTCTCCTGGCCTCGGGCCAAACAGCAAGGCGGCCTCTGCCCAGCCAGGTGAGGTGTTTGCCACCCACCCCCTGACCAGGTCTGTCTTGTCAGCACAAATAGCCCAGACACCACGGCTGTTGCCACAACATCCCCAGGTGGAAAGAGCCTGGGGCAGAGAATGTCCCAGACCCAGGAGGGGCCTACTTCCACCTCCACGTTGGCACCAACCTCCTCTGCCCACCCTGACCCCAAGTGGGCATTCCCCTCACATCAAACAAACTCCAGTCCCCGGCAGTGGCGGCCCCTCTCCCGCCATGCTTCTTCTCGTTGCTAACACAGGACTCTTGTTTAGACAGGGACCAGCTGTGCCCTGTCTCTGGCCAATGGCAGCATCATCACTGGCCCGGGCAGTCCAGCCCAGCAGAGCCAGGTCAAGGATCAGTCATGTTGACTGACCTGCAACCCTTCAAAGTGGCCTGAAGCAAAACCACGAGAGCCATTTTCTCTTTCGTTCAAATGCAGTTCTTTTCTAACACTGCCTGCAATGAGCTTTGGTGCAGAGATTTGGGGATGGGGAGGCACATGGAGAAAAAAAAAAAAAGACCAGGCAATTGCACAAAGCCTTTCCCTGGAAAACCCAGGCTCTGGGAATGGTGGGGGTCAGGACACATAGCTACCCCCCTCCAGCCCTGGAGCTCCGGCTTTGATGGTCGAGGCACAGTTGGGGATTCATCCCATTCCCCACATATGAGAGCAGTCTGGGAGCGGGAGATCGGCTGGGTGTGTGTATATATGTATGTGCATATAGATAGATCTATTTATATATAATAGGCTATATTAGAAAATCCTCTCTATGTATAAATATAAAACACTGGTATCCAAACATGACACCAACAGCTAACTAAAGTGCTTGACAGGAGCTGGGCCCGGGTGAGCTCAAAGGTAAACCGCTCATCCTGGGCGCTGGGGAAGCAAAACAATGGGGGACCCCTTCAGCACGGGGTGCTGCAGGAGGAAAGTATGCACTGGCCAAGCTGGGCCACCAAGAGCACTTGGGCCACCTGGGCCTTCTGGCTCCCGGGACTGTCTGGTCACTGCCCCGTCAACACTGTGCCTCATGTTTCCCCTACCTTCCCCACTGCACTCCCATCCACGAGGAGCACAGCGCTGGCGAGCTGGGCCAAGGGAAGAGCTGTTCCCACGGGGTAAGGCTGGCCAGTCTGTGCTCGCAATGTCCTCCACCCACAGGGCTGGGAGTGGGGGAGCACTGTGCAGAGAGCAGGGGAGCAGGGAGCTGTCCTAACTGATCATTTGAAAAAAATCCCTCCCCTCAACTATCACTCCTCCAGGCCAGGCCCTGCCCGCACTCCTCCTGGGCTTCCTGCCTGGGTGGGGGTGGGACGAGGGAGGGGAGCAGAGGCTTTGTGGAATCTGAGGACAGCCACCTTTCACCTGTAGGCCCCAAGCAAAGCATTAGCACCTCCACCATCCCTAAGGCCCATAGAAACGCCCACAGGTAAGTGGTCACCAGAGCTCTAGGGAGCAGAGGGCCCCAGAAGGCAGGGAAGAGGTCCCCCAAAAACACAGTGCTACAAGAAGGGGTTGGTGGTTGGAGGCTTGGAGGCGAATGGGCTTGATGAAGGTCCAGTCTGGAAAGAAAGAACAACACGTTTTCCAGTTAGGGGAGAGGAGCTGGAAGCTTAGAAGAAAGGCAGCCAGGAGTCCTTTCTCCTGAAAAATCGCTATGCTGAGGGCAGTGGGAAAGTGAGGGAGAAGAGGCCAGGCGTGGTGGCTCATACCTGTAATCCCAGCACTTTGGCAGGCTGAGGTGGGCTGATCACCTGAGGTCAGGAGTTCAAGACCAGCCTGGCCACCATGGGAAAACCCTATCTCTACTAAAAATACAAAAATTAGCCAGGTGTGGTGGTGCACACCTGTAGTCCCTGCTACTCAGGAGGCTGAGGCAGGAGAATTGCTTGAACTTAGGAAGTGGAAGTTGCAGTGAGCCGAGATTGGGCCACTGAAGTCAAGCCTGGGAGACAGAGCAAGACTGTCTCAAAAAAAAAAAAAAAAAAAAAAAAGGAAAGTGAGGGAGAAGGGAGCCAAGGACAGGGATGGAATGGCATGGGAGATGCCAGCGCCCAGAAGAGCTGAGGCCCAAGCTCAGCCCTGGCTTGGACAACGCAGACCTTCACGAGGAAGGGGCGCAGGGGCCACCTCACATCAGCCTCTTCTGGAAGGATTGTCCCAGAGGGAAAGCCCACTCATCGTACCACAGCACCCCTGCTGGGGTACTCACCATGAAGGGGTTGGTGGAGATCCCAACTGGCTGGCTCAGTGGCCTCTGTCCCAACTTGGCTGATCCTAAGTCCCCGAAGGAAGAGCCTGGGGGGCAAGAGCAGTCACTCAGCTGACACCAGCCCACCTTCCTGCAGGCAGACAGCAAGGGAGGCCCTCCTAAACTGGGGGAGTAAGGGAAGGGAGCAGTGGAAGTACCCGGGCAGGTCTGGCGCTTCCCTGGTCCCCCCCTGCTGGTCAGAAACAGCACTGCATGGGCTCTGATGAGGTCGAAGGGACAACTAACTGATCTCTATGCAGAGACTGGACGGGGTGAAAGGGGTTGTCCATTTGCAGCTCTTACCATTCTGCTGCTGAGCCAGTGGGGTCTGCGGGGGGAACAGCGGTGCTGGGAAGGAGCTGGCAAAGGCCCCAGTGGGTGGCACTGCCTGGGGGAAGCCAGGCCCAGCACTGCTCATCCCAAAGCCTGGCCCTATGAAGTGAGAGATGAGAGGTTCGGGTGAACTTCTGGAAGGTGGGCTGGAGAACTGTTTTTCCTAAGTCCCTCCAAGATGGGAAAATGGGATATGGTTTTTTCCTGACATGAGAAGCGAGGGACCCAGCAGAAATACCCTGAACCAGCCATGGAACTCTTCTGCTTCTCACACCACCAAACAACCCTGCCCTCTTCCTGCCCAGGGGTGCGTGGCAGGGAGGGCATAGTGGTTCCAGGCACGGGCATGGTGCAGGACTGGGCTAGCCTCCCACTACCTGCTAAACTGCAAAAACGGTGCAAACTTCTAACGCTGTCTGTGCCTTAGTTCTCTCATCTCTAAAATGGGGACAGTCCGTCTCCTAGGGCTGCTGTGAAGATTAAATCAGGGCCACAAAACCCTCAGCAATGGGCCCACCACACAGCTCTGCTGCATTCACTCTTATTCCTCTCTCCCCGGCCTCGAGGCTTCAGCCAGCATGAGTCTGAAGGGAGAGCAGCAGAGGCTGGGGAGGGCTGGGGTGAGAGGAGACCACAGGCCTGGAACTGATGGAAGCAGGGAACAGCGTGAGTGTTTCAGGTGGCTTAATCTTCGGGGCACAGAAGAGACTGGGGCTGGGTGCCCAAAGGGACACTGCCGAGGGCTGGAGACAGGAGAATCGTTGCCACTGTTGGTCAACTTTAAAACAGTCTTCAGTGCGGTCTCCGGTAAGTAGTTGCCTGTGTGCTTCTAATTCTAAACTCTGGCTCTGTGACCTGGGTGCTAGGTGGCCTGGCACCGTGTGGGCAGGGGAAGAACCAGGCTGTCTGCTTCTCCCGACAGTGTGAGACAAAGGGTTAAGTGAGAGACTGCAGGGTAATGTGAGCCCTGGGAGTCTCAGACGGTCAGGACAAGGGACCGTGCTGGAGGCTTACCTGGCGCCAAGCCATTGGGCTGGAATGGGTTGGTGGAAGGCAGCGGGGGCTGGGCGGCGGGAGCTGCAAAAGGGTTGGTGAAGGCTGCCCAGGAGGAATGGGGAGCAGAGGGAGAGAGAGATGGTTACTTTTTTTCTCACTTGCTTCATCCTGTGATGCCTAAGCATTCCTCTCAATCTATCCCCTTCCCACCCTGTCCAGAGTCCCCAGACTCCTCCTGGCCTCAGGTCCCCTCCCCTGGGTCTCCACAGGCAGGACTCACCTCCAAAGGCCAGCCCTGTGCTGCTGCTGCTGCCCATCGTGACAGACTGGAGTGGGGGGACCTGGCCAGCCATCCCAAAAAGGCTGCGACACGGGGAGAGAGAAGTCATGCACAGCTGCCAGGGCCAATCAAACCTGAGTGAGGGGCCAGGAGATGCCAACCCACCTTGCTCTTCAGGGTGAGTGAGGGAGAGGAGGGGAAGGGAGAACCGCCAGGAGATGCTGATGGGGCTGGGAGGAGCAAGGCCAGGCTTCGGGCGGCTCTCCTGCCCTAGAGCAGACTGCCCACTGTCCATACCTACCTGCTAGGAACACCTGCAGTGGGCACCCCGGGTCCCAGGAAGCTGCCCACGTCTGTGAGGCTGTTTGGCTGACTGGTGGGTGCCAGCGGAACGGCACCAAATGGAGTCCCCTGGCTGCTCCCTGGGCAGTTGTGGAAAATACAACAGGGAGAGCTGAGGTGAGACAGAGCGGGAGGGGCAGGAGAGGAGATGGAGATGGCGGTGGTGATGGATTGGAGTCGTGGCATGACAGGCGCCCACTGGGTTCTCTGAGCCAGCCCATTTTCCCCGGGACCACCCAGTTCAGGAGGTCTTGTCTCCCACCAACAGTTCTCGGCAAGGTGACAGCCCAGTCCTTCTCCATGTCCCCTGCGCTCAAAGCTGCGCTGCGGAGAGGAAAGCAGCTCGTCCCTGGGTCAGGCTGTTCTCCTCCTGCTCCCATTTGGCTTTCATGTCCCACTTTTCCCTCAAGAGATGGAAAAGCCTGTCCTTTCCTCAAACCCGCCTTTCCATTTATCAGAACGTGGCAGGGAGGGGCAGGCAGAGGCACCATGGAGGACAGTAAGTCCCATCACACTCAGGAGGCTCCTGGCCTGTGCAGCCTCCAGCCGTCAGCACTATCTCTTCCCCATGTAGCTGCTGCCTCTCAGGAGGCCGCCCCAATGCCCTGAGCCTGGACGCTCTGCTCATGGCGCCAGCCCCGCTGCCGGGTTCTCCTGCCCTCTCTCCTCTTCACAGCCAAAAAGAAAAAGCACAGAGGGCAAGGCCCACATGGACATCTTACAAAACAGCCGAGGGCCAAGAGTCCTGGAAATTCCAGGCAATCTTGTCTCAGGGAAAGAGGTGGAGTCCCTGTCATTTTAAGAGAGCCTCCTCTTTGTGCATCAAAGTCTCCTCTCTATCTTGGGACCCTATTGACCACACTGGGCTGCTGTGAATGTAAAAGAAGAGTCCAGATGGAAAAAGGCTTTATTGACAGGACGCGGTGGTTCGTGCCTATAATCCCAATACTTTCAGAGGCCGAGGAGAGCAGATTACTTGAGGTCAGGAGTTCGAGACCACCCTTGGCAACATGGCAAAACCGTCTCTACTAAAAATACAAAAATTAGCTGGGCATGGTGGCAGGCGCCTGTAATCCCAGCTACTTCAGAGGCTGAGGCAGGAGAATCACTCCAACCCGGGAAGCAGAGGTTGCAGTGAGCTGAGATCACACCATTGCACCCCAGCCTGGGCAGCAAGAGCAAAACTCCCTCTCAAAAAAAAAAAAAAAAAAAGGCGGGGGGCCGGGCGTGGTGGCTCAAGCCTGTAATCCCAGCACTTTGGGAGGCCGAGATGGGCGAATCACAAGGTCAGGAGATTGACACCATCCTGGCTAACATGGTGAAACCCCGTCTCTACTAAAAAATACAAAAAACTAGCCGGGCGAGGTGGCGGGTGCCTGTAGTCCCAGCTAACGTAGTCCCAGCTACTCGGGAGGCTGAGGCAGGAGAATGGCGTAAACCCGGGAGGCGGAGCTTGCAGTGAGCTGAGATCCGGCCACTGCACTCCAGCCTGGGCGACAGAGCGAGACTCCGTCTCAAAAAAAAAATTAGCCGGATGTGGTGGCGGGCGCCTGTAGTTCCAGCTACTCAGGAGGCTGAGGCAGGAAAATGGTGTGAACCCAGGAGGCGGAGCTTGCAATGAGCTGAGATTGCGCCACTGCACTCCAGCCTGGGCAACAGAGCGAGATTCCATCTCAAAAAAAAAAAAAAAGAGGGAGATCTTCCACATGCTAGGCACTATGCATAAATAACAGCGACCTGGGCCTTAAGTTGGAGAAGTTGAGAATCTAGCAGGGAAGACGAAGTGCCCAGTGCCTACTTGCTGCCAGGTCCTGAAGCCCCGCTCCCTCTCACTGAGTGTCGGCACTTGGAAGACAGTGCTCTCCTTTGCCACCTCCTTCCTAAATGTCTGAGCTTTCTAGATGAACGAGTGCTGGCTGCCAGCTTCCTCCTGGGAAAGGTTACAATGCCACTGTGCTTACTTGGTCATCAATCCTTTCTAATCCACAGACTGTTAGGCAGGCTAGAAAGCCAGCTGGCTGGGGCCGGGCCCAGTGGCTCACACCTGTAATCCCTGCACTTTGGGAGGCTGAGGCAAGCAGATCGCTTGAGGTCAGGAGTTCGAGACAAGCCTGGCCAACATGGCAAAACCCTGTTTCTACTAAAAGCACAAAAATAAGCTGGGCATGGGGGTGCATACCTGTAATTCCAGCTACATGGGAGGCTGAGGCACCAGAATCACTTGAACCTGAAAGAGGAAGATTGCAGTGAGCCAAGATCAAGCCACTGCACTCCAGCCTAGGCAATAGGGCGAGACTGTTTAAAAAAAAAAAAGCCAGCAGCATGGTGTTGGATCCTCTACTGACTCTTCCAGTTGAGGCCTTTCCCTGTCTGCCTGCCTCCAAGTACAGTGTGTGGAATTTCCACGCGAGCACGGCTCCCTCTCCTCGGATGGCTGACTCTTTGTACTACTGTGGTCCTTCATGTTCCAGGACCTCACCCCAGTGAGGACCAAGCTGGGAGAGAGGCTGCAGGCCATGCTGTGCCTCCCTGTGAACACTAGGGGGCAGAACCATCCCTAGCCTAGGCGGGGTTGGCCCTTTGCACAGAGTGCATTCTCATAAAGGAGGTGGTGGCCCAAGAAACACCTGCGCTCCTGTTTGCTTTTCATTTCATGTACTTTTTTTTTTTTTTTTTTTTTTTTTTTTTTTTTTTTTTTTGAGGCAGGGTTTCGTTCCAGTTGCCCAGACTGGAGTGCAGTAGCACAATCTCAGCTCACTGAAGCCTCGACCTTCAGGGCTCAGCTGATTCTCCCACCTTAGCCTCCTGAGTAGCTGGGACTATAGGCGCATACCACCATTCCCAGCTAATTATTTGTAGTTTTGGTAGAGAAGAAGTTTTGCCATGTTTCCCAGGCTGGTCGCGAACTCATGAGCTCAGGTGATCCGCCCACCTCAGCCTCCCAAAGTGATGGGATTACAGGCATGAGCCACCACACCCGGCCTTCATGTGCTTCTTACGCCACGCAGCTAGATTTCTACCATGCCTTATCGCAGTTTCAGAGAAGCAGTTTTGAAAACCTCCCCTCTCTCCATACTCCCCCTCAGAAATATAAAAATAAAAGCAGGCTTGTCAGAAGAGACACCCACCTCTCAAAATCTCCTCAGTTCACACCCAATAGCTAAATCACACTCACAGGAACACCTGCATGATCATGGTGTAGTGGGAAGTGGTTCTGCCAATTATCAGCATTAGATCTGGGCCAAGTTGAGCCAGTTTCCTGCAAAGGGAGGCTCTTTCCTTCCTCATGGACATAGTGCATGAAGGTGCCCAACAATGGCAGAATCCTCAGAAATGTTCCTTGGCTCTGGGTTTGGCTGTAAGTTGACTGTTTTTGTTTTGTTTTGTTTGAGACAGAGTCTTGCTCTGTCACCCAGGCTGGAGTGCAGAGGCACAATCTCAGCTCACTGCTACCTCAGCCTCCCCGGTTCAAGCAATCTTCCTGCCTCAGCCTCCCCAGTAGCTGGAACTATGGGCACGCACCACCATGCCCGACCAATTTTTGTATTTTGGTAGAGGGGGTTTTCACCATGTAGGCCAGGCTGGTTTCAAACTTCTAACCTCAAATGATGCACCCCCTCAGCCTCCCAAAGTGCTGGGATTACAGGTATAAGCCACCGCACCCAGTGATTGACTGCTTTTTGAGACAGCCAGATAGTGGACAAAAGGTTTAATGCTTGGAACATCCATGGGGCTGAGCCCTTCCTTCTCCCTGAGTCTGCCCCAAAAACTCTTGTCTTTAGAGCAATCAATTGTACAGGGAAGGCATTTCAGAAGGGACACATCTATAACAACTTTATATAGGCTGTTTCCTCGAGTGCTCCCATTCCTGGGAGCACACCTTTCTTACTAAATTGAATATTCCTGCACCAATGTACAATTTCTGCCAACAGCACACAAGAAGGTCCTTTTCCCCACATGATACTGGCCATTATCAATCTAAAAATTTTGCCAATATGATGTGCAAAACTATCTTATCCTAGTTTGCATTTCTCTGATTAGTTAGGTTGAGGATATTTTCTTTTTTTTTTTTTTTTTTTGAGACCAAGTCTTGTTCTTGTCGCCCAGGCTGGAGGGCAATAGTGCGATCTCTGCTCACTGCAACCTCCGCCTCCCAGGTTCAAGCGATTCTCCTGCCTCAGCCTCCCAAGTAGCTGCGATTACAGGCGCCTGCCACCATGCCCGGCTAATTTTTGTATTTTTAGCAGAGATGGGGTTTCACCATGTTGGCAAGGCTGGTCTCAAACTCCTGACCTCAGAGTGATCCACCTGCCTCAGCTTCCCATACTGCTGGGATTATAGGCATGAGCCACCACGCCTGGCCTATTTTCATATTTTTTTTCTGAGTGTTACCTGCTTGTATCTCTTGTCCATTATTCTATTTTAATATTTGCAGGAATTTAAAAAATACTTTATAGATACTAACTTCCATCTGTTTTTCTATGTTGTATCGTCTCTCCATCTGTTTCATGCCTTTTTTTTTTTTTTTTTTTTTTTTTGAGACGGAGTCTCGCTCTGTCGCCCAGGCTGGAGTGCAGTGGCCGGATCTCAGCTCACTGCAAGCTCCGCCTCCCGGGTTTACGCCATTCTCCTGCCTCAGCCTCCCGAGTAGCTGGGACTACGTTAGCTGGGACTACAGGCACCCGCCACCTCGCCCGGCTAGTTTTTTGTATTTTTTAGTAGAGACGGGGTTTCACTGTGTTAGCCAGGATGGTCTCGATCTCCTGACCTTGTGATCCACCCGTCTCGGCCTCCCAAAGTGCTGGGATTACAGGCTTGAGCCACCGCGCCCGGCCCTGTTTCATGCCTTTAAGCTTTGTTTATGTCATCTTTTATCATACAGAATGTGACCTATGGCCAGGCATGGTGGCCCATGCCTGTAATCACAGAATTTTGGAATGCCAAGGCAGGCGGATCACTTGAGGTCAGGAGATTGAGACTGGCCTGGCCAACATGGTGAATGAAACTCCATCTCTACTAAAAATACAAAAATTAGCCGGGCACGGTGGCATGTGCCTGTAATCCTGCTACTCAGGAGGCTGAGGCAGGAGAATCGCTTGAATGAGATTGCACCATTGCACTCTAGCCTGGGCGACAGAGTAAGACTCTGTCTCAAACAACACACAAACAAAAAAACAAAAAACAACAACAAAAACTAGAATGTGACCTATGTGATTTATCTTTGTTAGAATTTATGGAGATTTTGTTTCCTAGTTTCTTTCTTACTTGTCTGCTAGTCATGTGGGAAAGCACTGCACAAATTATAGTCTACCAAAATACAAATTATAGTCTCCTACTCCTTTGGCTTATTAAATTCTGATTGTGTCTAATAGTTTTTGCTTCGTGAATCTCACCGGTATGAGGTCAGTTATTTTAAGTACATGGTTTTGAGAACCTCTTTGTGAACTTTTTTTTTTTTTTTTGAGACAGAGTCTTACTCTGCCACTCGGGCTGGAGTGCAGTGGCACGATCTCGGCTTGCCGCAGCCTCTGCCTCCCAGGTTCAAGTGATTCTCCTGCCTTAGTCCCCCGAGTAGCTGGGATTCCAGGTGCCTGCCACCACGCCCAGCTAATTTTTGTATTTTGAGTAGAGATGGTGTTTCACCATGTTGGCCAGGCTGATCTCAAACTCCTGACCTCAGGTGATCTGCCCACCTGGACCTCCCAAAGTGCTGGGATCACAGGTGTGAACCACCATACCCAGCCAACTTTTATCAATATATGTTTCTTCTTGTCGCCCTCCAAAATGATAAAATAGAAACAAAAGCAGCTAATCAGCTCACAGTGGCACAGTGAGAAGGCTGTGGGCAGAGCATGAGTCAAGAAGTCTGGGCTCTGGTCTCAGCTTGGTCACTCTTGGCCTGCACGACTAGGGAAATTGCTTAATTGCCTTATCTATCAAATGACCAAATTTTAAGGGTTCTTTCCAGCCCTCAAAACTCTATGATCAGAGGCGCTTGGGTAGGCTCTGGGGTGGGGAGAATAACTTACCAAAGCTGTAACTTTCAGTTAGCATCCGACTGGCTGGCAGTGAGGGTGGGGAAGAGAAGGATGGGTAGAGGAAGGGAAAAAGAAAGAGTGTATGTCACTGGCTTTTCCCCAGACATCTGGGCCTGACAGCGAGCACTGCAGCTGCCCTCCCATTGTCCAGGATGTCCAAAGGCAGAAGGCACCCAAAGGCTATGAAGACTCGACATCTAGAGCTTAGGAAGGAGCAGAATGCTTTAAGAAGGCCTGAAGAGTCTCTTGCAATGGCTAAATAGCATAGTTTTTTGGTTTTGTATGTTTATTTGTTTTGAGACAGGGTCTCACTCTGTCACCCAGGCTGTAGTGCAGTGGCACAGTAATCACTCACTGCAGCCTCACACTCCTGGGTTCAAGTGATCCTCCCACCTCAGCCTCCCAGAGTATTAGGATTACAGGCATGAGCCATTGTGGCTGGCAGCAACGTAGAGTTTACAGGCCTTTGGTCTTAGTGGGATGGATGAGGACTTCTGGAGACTACCTTGACCCTTGACCCTTTGGGACAGTGTACCATGCAGACAAGAGCACCTTAGAGAAAAAGGTCACATCCGTTTAGGACTCAGGTCTTCCATACTTCCTAGTGAAAAGTTTCCTAGTGTATAACCCACACAGCTCCTGCTGCAATCTTAGTCATTTTTCCTTTCATGAAAAAGCAGAACAGTAGAGCCCCCTCTCCCTGACAAGAATGTGTCAGACACACTCATCCTCTCCTGGAGCTGCTTCTCTTTGTGCTTTGCTGCTTTGCTCTTTAGGATAGTGAGGATATGAATGAAGGCTGATTTATGGACATGAACAAATGGACACGGTTGGAAGAGAAAGGAAGCCAGTGGGGCAGAGTTTACCCGCAGGAGTTGGCTGGGCCTGGAACGGGGCTTGACCAGCTGGAGGGAGGCTTCCGAACACAGAAGGGCTGGGGCCACTGCTGAAGGCATCAAAGTTGGCAAAGCCCCCGTGGGAAGGTGTCTGACCTGTAGGTGGAAGAAACATAAAGGTTATACAGAAAATTGTCGGGTGTGGTAGCTCACGCCTGTAATCCCAGCACTTTGGGAGGCCGAGGCGGGCAGATCAGTTGAGGTCAGACGTTCAAGACCAGCCTGGCCAACATGGTAAAACCCTCTCTCTACTAAAAATATAAAAATTAGCTGGCCGTGGTGGTACGTGCCTGTAATCCCAGCTACCTGGGAGGCTGAGGCATGAGAATTGCTTAAACCTGGGAGGTGGAGGTTGCAGTGAGCCGAGATTGTGCCACTCTACTCTAGCCTGGGTGACAGAATGAGACTCTGACTCAAAACAAAAACAAAAACAAAACAAAAACAGAAAAAGAAAAGAAAATGTATATACCTATCTATGTAATATATCTACTAATTCTAAAGGCCAAAGGCCACTCTTATAGGACATCTGCCTTTCCACAGGGTCCTCTTCAGAGGGAAATGGGTGGGGCCTGGGGCCAAGAGCCAGACCCACACAGGGGGACAGGGGCACCCAGGGCCTCCAGGTTCACTCCCTGCCCTCTTCTATCCTTACTCCATGAGGCATTAACATTTTTGTCAGGGCCTAGTTTGGGGCATGAAAATTTTTTTTCATGGAGGAAGGAGCTTGAATTTTTTTTTTTTTTTTTTTTTGAGACGGAGTCTCACTCTGTCACCCAGGCTGAAGTGCAGTGGTGCGATTGCAGCTCACTGCAACCTCCGCCTCCAGGTTCAAACAATTCTCCTGCCTCAGCCTCCCGAGTAGCTGGGACCACAGGCACGTGCCACCACACTTGGCTAATTTTTTCTTTTTTCTTTTTTTTGAGACGGAGTCTCGCTGTGTCACCCAGGCTGGAGTGCAGTGGCGCGATCTCGGCTCACTGCAAGCTCCGCCTCCCGGGTTTACGCCATTCTCCTGCCTCAGCCTCCGAGTAGCTGGGACTACAGGCACCCGCCACCACGCCCGGCTGGTTTTTTGTATTTTTTTAGTAGAGATGGGGTTTCACCATGTTGGCCTGGCTGGTCTTGAACTCCTGACCTCAGGTGATCCGCCTGCCTCGGCCTCTCAAATGCTAGGATTACAGGTGTGAGCCACTGTGTCCGGCTTGAAAATTTTTAAAAAAGGAAAACAGATTCTACGCTACTCAACCCTCTACTGGCTATTGCTGATTTGGGGGAAGAATAATCTTTGGTGAAATGGAACACATAATAATCCCCGTCCTACCATTGTAAGAGAGAGAGAAAACAGTAAAAAAGGCTATTTCCAGTGTTCTAAAAGGAAGTGCTAGGAGCCCTCAACTGTAATGCTTTAGGATCAAACTCCCAAACATAATCCTGGCTGTACTTATTTGACCCCAATCCTCCCAGCCTTGCTGCTTCAGAGTGACCTTCACATTTGTTTGCATAAGAAGATCTAGAGCCACGGTCACCTCCAGGGACTGTATCTCTCATGTTGTAAGTATATATGCTGTAGGGAGGGTCCCATACCAAAACTCACTTACCCCCAAAGGCAGGGAATGCAGCAAAAGCTGGTGCCGTCTGGGGTGCAGCAAAGGGGTCTCCACCAATGTCAGCCAGCAGGTCAGTACTGGCTTTTTTGACAGAGGAGTGGGGAGGTGGCTGAGTGCTCCGGGCCTGGGATGTCCGAGCGTGAGACTGACTGACGGGCTTGGAGGAGAAGGAATTGCATACAGCCCTTAGAATCCCAGACATGCCTCAGGCCCTCCTCTGGCTCCCCAAGTTGCCCTCAGATAGGCAGGTGGAGAAAGAAGACAGTGAGTAACTGCCCTCAACCTAAGTTTCCTGGGCAGCAGCTGCCTTGGCCCCTCTTACAGCTCATATCATCGTCTTCTCAGTACACCTGCTCCAAGAACCACACATTTTACAGCACATGAGCCAAGGTAACCCTGAGATATACAGGAATGTTGCCCAACACTGCCCCCAAGGCTGTTACTCCTCAACTTTCCCAGGTATTGGACACCATATCCCAGCCCCTTCTGTGTTTCTTTGATGGAATGCTCAGGTTTGGAGCTGATATTGTGACTTCCCTAAATACCACTTCCTGTTGGGTTCTGACTTCCAAAAGATAGGAGGTCCAGAAGTGACAAATACAAGATACGGGTTAACAGCAGGACCGAGAACCAACTCACAGCTCCTGCATTGTTGTCTGCTAAGTCCGGGGAATCTGATTCAGGAAACTGACACTCCTGTCTCCCAAATCTCAACAGAAACATGACGAGCAGATCTGAGAGTTACCTGGCTCGAGGTGGAGGCAGCAACTGAGAGAGACGGTGCAGGATCACCCAGAAGTGTCCGAAGGGGCTTTCCTTCTGGGATGGAGCCCTGCACAGGGGTGGAGGCACTGCCTTTGGTATAAGCGGGCCCCTTGACTTGGTCTGGGGGGACATACCTTTGAGAAAGAATAGTTAGGCTGTAAAGAGAGGGATAAAACTTTGGACCATGCTCAGCTTAGGTGTTTGGGAAGACACAGGTTACAGGAGTCAAAATCTATGCTCATTTTTCTCTACTAATTCCCTTTTATGAAGGCAACCAAGCAACTTAGCAAAGTTCTGCCTATCTTGAGCATCCCCTTGAACATCTTTTGGTTTTTTTGAGACAGGGTCTCGCTCTGTCACCCAGGCTGGAGTGCAGTGGGGCAATGTTGGCTCATCGTAGCCTTAACCACCCAGGCTCAAGTGATCCTCCTGCCTCAGCCTCCCAAGTAGCTGGGACCACAAGTACACGCTACCATGCCTGGCTAATTTTTTAATTATTTGTAGAGACGAGGTCTCGCTATGTTGCCCAGGCTGGTCTCAACCTCTTGGCCTCAAGTGATCCTCCTGCCTTAGTCTCCAAAGTTCTGGAATTACAGGGTGAGCGACCGCACCTGGCAAAGGTCCCCCTCTTTTATTTCCTGGGTGTTTCTTCAGACTCCTTCTTCTCAGTTCCACAGAAAAGCTGCCTGCCACCTCATCCTCTAGGTGCTGACAATCCACACTTCTATCCTGCCAGCTCCTGCTACTGCCGAGACAATTCCCTTCCACTACAGTGTAGGTGGCCCCTACTCGGTAAGTGTCACCTTAATCCTGAGGACATCCCTAGGAGGGACTCCACAGTGTGGTCTTATCCACATCAATCTCTTTGTTCTCTGCATTCTCTTCTCTACCTCACAGTTACCTCCCAACATGTACACACCCCGGAGATCCCACAAGAAGTGATACCAGGGGAGAGGAAAGGTAAGGGAGAATGGAGATGCTGTTTCCTTCATCAGAAAGACAAAATATAGTTGTCCCATGGTATTCCCAGGGAACTGGTTCCACGATCCCCCGACAATTCCATAATCAGAGGATAGGATGCTCAAGTCTCTTATATAAAATGGTGAAGTATTTGCATATCAAACATGTACCTACTCTAATATACTTTAAATCATTTACAATGTAAATGACATGCAAATAGTTGCTATATTGTATTGCTTTTTTATTTGTATTATTATTATTATTATTATTTTTGAGACAGAGTCTCACTCTGTCGCCCAGGCTGGAGTACAGTGGAACGATCTTAGCTCACTGCAACCTCCACCTCCCGGGTTCAAGCAGTTCTCTGCCTCAGCCTCCCGAGTAGCTGGGATTACAGGTGGCCACCACCGCGCCTAGCTAATTTTTTGTATTTTTAGTACAGACGGGGTTTCACCATGTTGGCCAGGCTAGTCTTGAACTCCTGACCCTGTGATATACCCGCCTCGGCCTCCCAAAGTGCTGGGATTACAGGCATGAGCCACCGTGCCTGGCCTTATTTGTATTATTTTTTATTGTTGTATTGTTATTTTTTGTGTTCCCCCCAGCCCCTGGCCTTTATTTATTTATTTATTTTTTTTGAGACAGAGTCTCTCTCTTTGCCCAGGGTGGGGTGCAATGGCACAATCTCAGCTCACTGCAACCTCCGCCTCCTGGGTTCAAGCGATTTTCCTGCCTCAGCCTCGAGAGTAGCTGGGATTACAGGTGTCCACCACCACACTCAGCTAGTTTTTTTTTTTTATTTTTAGTAGGGACGGGGTTTCACCATGTTGGCCAGGCTGGTCTCGAACTCCTGACCTCAAGTGGTCTGCTCAACTCAGCCTCCCAAATTGCTGGGGTTACAGGAGTGAGCCACCGTGCATGGCCTGTTTTCCCAAATATTTTTGATGTGAGGTTGATTGGATCCATGGATGCAGAATCTACAGATACAGAGGGCTGGCTGTACATATAAATCATGAAACAAGGCTGGGCGTGGTGGCTCACGCCTGTAATCCCAGCACTTTGGGAGGCCAAGGCGGGCAGATCACTTGAGCCCAGGAGTTTGAGACTAGCCTGGGCAACATGGTGAAACCCCATTTCTACAAAAAATATAAAAATTAGCCAGGCATGGTGGCACACACCTGTAGTACCAGTTACTGGGGAGGATGAGGTAGGAGGATCACCTGAGCCCCAAGAAGCTGAGGCTGCAGTAAGCTGTGACTGTGGCACTGCACTCTAACCTGGGCAACAGAGTGAGACCTGGTCTCAAAAAAAAAAAAAAAAAAAAAAAATCATGAAATGATGGGTTAAAGGAATAAAACTATAGGCTGTGTGCTTCCTGCCATCTCTCTCCATATACAAGATCAGCTGAGCTATAAAAATGAACACCCACAGGCCTACCTCCCGACTCTAATCAGTCTATTATCTCTCCAAAAGAGAGGACATAAAATCTGCAGGGTTAGTGACTGAGAACAAGTTGTCCTTTCATGTAGATTTTTTTTACCTATAACTGAATGGGAGTGGAACAGACTCAACCCAAGTCTAGCCTTTGTGAGAAGGTCAAATTCAACTCTAGAAACTGGACTGTCAGATGCAGAATGTCTTGAACACGTTTCCATAGCAACCTCTTTCCTACTCCTTACCATCTCTTCTTCTCATATTTTTCCTGGAGAAACTCCTTCACTTTCTGAGGATCCCTGGAATCTGGTACTAAAGATGTCCGAGCATCAAATAGACCCAGCCAAATCTTCCGGCAAACCTAAAAGAATGAAGGTGTCAGAGGAGTGGGAGCAGAAAGCAGGAAATATAAAAGATACCACTTCCTTTTTTTTTTTTTTTTTTGAGATGGATTCTCACTCTGTCGCCAGGCTCGAGTGCAGTGGCACGATCTCGGCTCACTGCAACCTCCACCTCCGGGGTTTAAGCAATTCTCCTGCCTCCTGTATTATAAATAAAAATACAGTGCTAGGATCTGAGTCTATCTACAAACCAGATACGATTCCTGTCCTTGCAGAGTTTATAATCCAATGGGGCGGTCATGTCTTAGATAAATAAAACTAAAGTTATAATCACATTTTGTGACATGTATTGAAAAAGGAAAATAGAGGGCCATAAGAATTATGGAGAATTAAATTTCGATAAGGGTAGGGTCTGGGACAATTTTCAGAGCTCTGGCTTCCAGGACACCTCCAGAGGCCCTTGAGGACACCCTCTAAGTAAACCAATCACCCATAAGCTAGGGGTACTGCTAACGCCAAAGATAGCAACTTCTGATTGTCAGATTTAGCTAGGGAAGGGGTTTACAAGTCACTTTCAAGTAAAAGATATGCACTTAAACCCAGGTGGTCAAGGCTTAAGGCAGCAGAGCTGGCTCCAGGAGAGCTTCCTCAGAGAGGCTGGCCCAGTCAACTCTGAATGCTCATGCTCTGGAGCTCTGATCATTCTACCCCTCCATTGCTCAGGTGCCACATCCTACAAAGATATTGCTGCTTCCCCTGACTCCTGAAAAAGGAGCTTAGACAAACCACGATTTGTATAACAGAATAAAGATTCTGTAAATATACAAATATACCTAAGGAAAGAAATCATACATATGAAAAAATTCAGAGAAACTCAACCAAAACTGAAACCATAAGGTTTCCCTACAATCTTGAGACAAAGCCCCACCTGCAGATAGGGCGACCTTCTCACCACTCCATCGGTGGCAGCTCACCTCATTTCCACGGGATTGCAGGAATACTACTTCAGGCTCAGTGAAAGTTGTCATGGAGATTGACTTGACACGATGAGGGGGATTCAGCCCTCTCCTGCGGGAGAGAAACAGGAAGAAAGAGAAGTATAATGCAGTTAGCACGGCAGGCTGTTCATGGGAGGGGGAGGAGGCAGAAAAGGTGAAACAATAGCATATAAACTAAGCTCAGATAGAACCCCCCCCATCCATTTTTTTTTTTTTTTTGAGACAGAGTCTCACTCTGTCACCCAGGCTGGGGTGCAGTGGCCGGATCTCAGCTCACTGCAAGCTCTGCCTCCCGGGTTTACGCCATTCTCCTGCCTCAGCCTCCCGAGTAGCTGGGACTACAGGTGCCCGCCACCTTGCCCGGCTAGTTTTTTTGTATTTTTTAGTAGAGACAGGGTTTCACCGTGTTAGCCAGGATGGTCTCGATCTCCTGACCTTGTGATCTACCCGTCTCGGCCTCCCAAAGTGCTGGGGATTACAGGCTTGAGCCACCACATCCGGCCAGAACCCCCCCATCTGAAGCTACTTCCTAATTCCAGGATGGAAGGGAAATATTTGAAATATTTTGGAGATATTAGAAGTCTCCAAAGAGAGGCCAGGTACAGCCTCTTTAATCCCAGCACTTTAGAAGGCTGAGGCAGGCAGCTCACTTGAGGCCAGGAGTTCAACACCAGTCTGGCCAACATGGTGAAACCCCATCTCTACTAAAAATACAAAAATTAGCCGGGCGTGGTAGTGCATGCCTGTAATCCCAGCTACTCAGGAGGCTGAGGCATGAGAATATCTTGAACCTGGGAGGCAGAGGCTGCAGTGAGCCGAAATCACGCCACTGCACTCCAGCCTGGGCAACAGAGCAAGACTCTGTCCCTCCGCCCCGCTCCCACCACAAAAAAAAAAAAAAAAAAGAAGTCTCTAAAGAGACAGGGAAGAGAGAGTCAGGAACACCCTGTGATCCCAGTCATTCCGGAGAGGAAAGGCAGAGCCCACCCATCCAGAAGCCTCCTCTAGCCTGGCTTAGATCCCAGTAGTTTCAGTGTTCAGCTTGTAGGTCGAGGGGGTACTTCTGGGAACTCGGACGCGTGACCACTTCCCATGTCCTACTTCATCATTGCTTTAGACCTGCAGCCCATCCCCAAGGTACCAGGGCCCACAAAAACACAAATCCCTCAAGCATGAGGGAAGGCAAAAATGAAGGCCCAGGACTATTCTTGATAACACTAACAAAGACAGGATTTGGTGACAAAAAAGTCTCTAGCCCGGCTGGCCCTCCTTGAGTCTACACAGAAGGGTGGAGTGGTGGTGGGATGGAGAGGGTCCCTCTCTTTCAGGAAGCCATCTCTAGGAAAAGAAATATTTGACTTTCTTATTTCTATAACTCTCAGTAAAGCAAGAAGAAGTCAAGTTCAACCATGAGCTATGAGGCTGGCATGGGCGAGGAATATGTATCCTGTGGCAATGCTTTTGTGCCTCCTCTGTATGTTCTGCTAACTCCCTGGGAATCCAGTTCTGCCTCCAGGAACCCTGTGGAGATTATAAGAGAAGAGAAAGCTTCCTTGTCCCCACTCAACTGGTCTCAGGAGTGTTCTAATAGAGGAAACTTGGGGCCAAGCCAGGCAGGCCTTCATAGGTTCTCCTGTCCTTGCACCTTAAGTTGTATTCTGGTCTAGGTCTACTACCCTCATTGGATTAAAACAAAACTGCCCAAACCAAGACAAGCTAGACCCTGGGACCAGGAGGCAAGCAGTCTCAGCAGATGAGGCCTCTTCAGACTTTTACTCTCATGGAAAAAAAAATGGCCAAATGGAGTTGTTCAAATAAAAATCTAGAATAGGGTCCTGGCTGACGACGTCCTCAGGAAGAGCAAAGGGGGAAAAAGAGACAAAAATACTTAACAGATGAAAATCCTGAAAATTCACAAAGAAGGTAGGGAAAACATACATTCACACTAACAGGTGCACACATAGAATCCAAGTGTTCCTGCCAAGTCTGGGAGAATGGCAGTGAGCATGTAAGCAAAAGCGGGGCGGGGGCCGGGGGTGGGGGGCAGGGAGTGGGCGGACTCAGTACAGAGTGAACAGTAAAGGGCGGCCACCCTGCGGATGATAAATTACTCATTATGGGATTTTAACAAAGGACAGGACACTGGAGGCTCCAGTTGACGCTGTTTGCAGCAATTCTGCTGCTAGACCTTTAGGTATAAAGGGTATCAAAAATGCTCTTATAAAAGACAAGCAATATCAAAGAGGACTGATGCCCCCAAGGAAAGATAAGCTCAGGGAAAAACAAAAGCAAGGCTTTGTTACTACATGTCAAACAATAGCTCTTAAGCTCGATCTGCCCTGAAGACTGTCTTCTGATCACATTTCAGAGACAGTCGATCACATTTCAGAGATAGTCGGTTCTCTCTCCTAAGGCCTCTCTTGCTAATGGCTTGGTTTGGTTTTGCTTTTAATTCTAGCCAGCCTGCTTTTATACCCTTTCTCACCTTAACCAATAGGCCCTTCCCCTTCAGAATGTCAGGGCTTTCTGAAGTCTAGCCAGACCTCACTGTCCCTGTGATCTCAAAGGTCTTCTCCTTCACCTCCTACAAACAAAATTTACTTTGCCAAAACACAAGGCATTATAGGAGGCACTGTGGGGGATACAAAAATTATAGGACCAAATTATCTTATCAACAGGAGCTCACAAGAAGAACCCAGGAAGCCTGGACAAAAAAAGTACTTCTCACTGCAGTAGGGTTCTATTCAGTCAGGCACTGAAGTATCAGGGAGAACATGACTCCAGGGTGCAGCAGTTGCGGAAGGAAGAGAAACGGTCATGGGGAAGGTAAAACGTATTATGTTTACACTAGAAAAACAGATTCTAAGCCTATCACAAAAAGGTCATTGACATTTCCTGAATGGATAACCAGGAACTGTCAGCGAACTGTAAACAGGGAGGTGTGCTTCCTTGTTAGGGGAAGGAGGCGGGACTCAACCCAGGCATCAATCAAGATGGGATGCTTAGAACAGAACTTATGGTTGAGCCTGGACTAAAAGAGTTTATTTTTGGTGGGGGCGGTGGGGGTGGGGGGGCCGGACGGATGTGATAGGATGATGGGAAGGCAGAGAAAATAAGAAACGATTTAGGTGCTTTGGGCCAAATGAATCTGATGGAACAGGATGTTTCCATAGCACAGTACAAAAAGCATTGCTCTGACCTTGATGTCTGTAGACTGGATTTTGTACAACCAGAGCCACAGTCTGGGGGCAGGGAGAATTCTCTACAAGGCAACACTGCAGCCTAGGAAGGGGGCCTAGTTACATGGCCTATGAGTCAGTTTTTCTTTCTGAATCAGAGAGAGGCCACTGCTGGCCAAAAGAAGCAATTTAGAAACAAGAGCCCCCTTCCTCCTGGTAGCTAAAATCATGTGGCCTAGGTATGCTGCATTTCACTGGGTATATACCAGGGTCATGCAGCGGACCAGATGTGAGTCACTGGCCTGGAATTAAACAGGCCCAGCTCTCCTACTTGCACCCAGTTCCCCAACATAACTCTCAGGTTCCTCCCAAAAGAAGAAATCACAGCAAATTCATTCTGGTATTTCTAACCAGGAAGTGCTGGGGAGGAACAAAGATCAATTTATTTTCCCAGAATAGAGTAAGTTTTTCCAATTGAAAGTACATTATTACTAGGACTCAAGACTCCAGTCAGTCAGGTTGTCTTTATCCACTTCAGTTTCTTTTTCACAGGGCACCTAAAGGGCATTTGAAGTAGTCTGAATTATTTGGCAGCTGAAGCCACTTGTATGTGTAGCAGCTAACGTCTGCCCGGTCCTCTCTTTCCCTCCCTCCCGTCTCCCCTCTGATTCCATTAAGCATAGTACTATTTCCACAAATACCACACCTTTTGTTTTTCTGTGATCATCACCCTCATGCTGGCCCATATTTTTGCTTCTATCTTGCTTCATAAAAGCATCAAACCTGCTCAGCTGCTCAGATAAGAAAGTTCTGCCAGGTCAACAATGGAAAAAAACCAGTTCCACCCAGCACCCAAGTTCTTTTTCATTTGTGCCAAATTTGGACTTGGGAAATCCTTGCCTTTGAACATTTGTGTTCAGATTCATATGCCCCAGATCGTGTTTCTCTGCTCTGGGATTTCACTCCTCTGCTTCTGAACAGGGTACAACTAAACCAGTTTAGCTCTTATCTTAGATGCAAACATCGCTATGAAGAGTCCCTGTTAGGAACTTTCAATAGTGCCTAAGAGGAAGGCTCTCCTATTACCCTGCTCCAGGGTCAATTTCACTAATTTTAGGCAACCTCCTCCTGATCTAAATTCTGCTTCAATCCATTTCCTTTGTTCCTCCTCAGCAGCAATGATAAGCAGCTGTCCTGTTGATTAGAGTCAGATAGACTCCTGATAGCATCCAGCCGCCCTTCCCTTTAGGCTCAACCTCAATCCTTTTTACATTTCTCCCTCCGCCCTCACCTCTCTCACCACCCCCCCGTCGAGCTTCTTCTCATCCCTTTAGTAATTTATTACTTCCTTAGGGGCTTTTCAAGTGGTTCATGCGCCCCTTATGAAACAGCACCTAAATCTGTAATTTAGTGAGACTCTGTCCACCTCTGCCCAACAGAGGTCAACATGAAAGACGACAGAGGAGGGGATGGAGGGATGGGACTAAAACAGGGGCAAGGTACATGTGTACCTCTCCAATTCAGACAGATGGAAAAGTACTGAATTATTGAACAATGTATTATACCTTTCCTCCTATGGAGATTAAAATGCTTCAACTAAGAACCATCAGCAAGTCAGACAGGGAAAGTAAGGGACAAGGAGGGCAGGAACTTGTCACAAATAAAGAGCTGTCAAGTGCATTCTTGACACCCAGCCCAGAGCTCTGCCCACCTTAATTCTGACTCCTGTGATCACAGTAAAGTTGGGTAGAAGTAGAAGAGATAAGTATCTATTATCAATGCCTGAAGAACGATGGATTGAAGATGGACCCAAACAGCTACATCAAGGAAACATGTCATACTTTGCTGAAAAAATTGGGTGTCAAAGTTAGTGTCCATCCTTATGTCAATGAGATCTCAGGCTTCAACATCCATTTTCTTTCTGAGGAACAGTGGTTCCACAGAAGCATTCAGGCAAACCAGAACAAGAAAGAACATTTAAAGAACTGCTTTGCAAATAGATGCTTTTTAGCAGCAATTTTTACCACGTCTTAAGATTCAAATGACAGATTCATCCTCCAAGAGTTAGAAATGTAACTAAACAAACAAGCATATGTGTATGTTGGGGAAATTAAACAGATCCACATCTAGGTTAAGGAAATTAGGTACTGGAAGAAAACCAAATGAATAAAACTAGGTCAGGTGTGGGACCTACAATTGTGGCAGTATGTATGTAAATTTAGGAACAGCAGAAACTAGCAGCCTCTCGCTCAAGCCCTCACACCAACGCTGTGGGTTTTTGCTACAGCTGAGAAAATATTTCTCATTAAAGAGAGAGAACAAGAATGAGCTCATACATGCAGGGATGCAGGCAGAGTCATACGCACCCACCAATATTAAAATATGTGTTTTTCTTCAGATCTTAGGAAATTCAACTTTGGCAGGAACCGTCAACTTTGCTACATCGGCCAATCCAGCCAGCTGGGAATTCTAGTAAGTTTGCTCACTGCCCCCAGACGACTCTATTCCCTTATGAAGGAGACATATTTGTAACACACTGAACAGAAAATTGGCCTTTAAAATAATGTCATCCTGCTGTCTCCTTTCTCTGGCTATGATGCTAAGTGTGGTATTTCAGTTTCTTCCCTCAATATCCTCTTCATTTTAACAAAGAATATTTCTTCTCAAGGCCAGGCACAGTAGTTCATGCCTGTAATCCTAGCACTTTGGGAGGCCAAGGCAGGTGGATCACCTGAGGTCAGGAGTTTGAGACCAGCCTGGCCAACATGGTAAAACCCTCTCTCTACTAAAAATAAAAAAATTAGCCGGGCGTGGTGGCGGGCACCTGTAATCCCAGCTCCCTGGGGAGGCTGAGGCAGGAGAATCGCTTGAACCCAGGAGGTGGAGGTTGCAATGAGCCGAGATTGCACCACTGCACTCCAGCCTGGGCAACTATTAATAATAATAATCATCATCATCATCATAATTCTCTTTGCATCAACCTCAGTTTGGTATCACTCTAACCTACAGAGCTTCATTTTACTTCACAGCCTTTAGCAATACAGAACGATTTCTTTATAGTCCATGGCTTCCACTAGGATGTCAGCTCTGTGAAAATGCGAACTTTATCACTACTCTGTCTCCAGTACCTAAAACAGTGTCTGGCACTTGACAGGCACTGAATAAGTTCATGTTGACTGACCGAATGAATGAACGTGCAGGCTGTCAGCCGACCACAATTTTCACTTCCCACTAACAATAAACCCTAATCTACAGGTAATCAATCATGCGGATTTAAGATGCTAATTGGTCTCCGTGCCACCATGGAACCATGCCTCCAGAAATAAGCGTCCCCTGCCTCACATTCTGCCTTACAGCCCACCTGCCAGCTCCCACTCCTTCCCACAGCACATCAAAGGGACACAGGTAATACTGTGTTAAGACCCCTTTACAAGGATTATATGCTTCGCCCTTGTCATGTTAATTATAGGGAAACTTCAGCTTTCTTGCAGAGTTTCTCCTGAAATTTCTCTTCTTAGACTCTTAACATGCCTTCAATTCAGCTACATTTACTGGCCTAGCCTCTTGATCTTTCACTTCACTCTCATTTCCTGCTAACAAAGGGTTGGTCTAGCTTCTCATTTCCCAAACACCAAAATATGCTCTCTAAATCTACCGCTGTGATAATCACTCCCTGATTTAGTCTCATAATGCTTTACCAAAAAGCTAAGCAGCCTGGGTGCCGTGGCTCACACCTGTAATCCCAGCACTTTGGGAGGCTGAGGCGGGTGGATCACTTGAAGTCAGGAGTTCGAGACCAGCCTGGCCAACATGGTGAAACCCCATCTCTACTAAAAATACAAAAATTAGCCAGATGTGGTGGTGCATGCCTGTAGTCCCAGCTACTCAGGAGGCTGAGGCAGGACAATTGCTTAAACCTGGGAGGCAGAGGTTGCAGTGAGCTGGGATCACGCCATTGCAGTCCGGCCTAAGCAAGTGAGACTCCATCTCAAAAAAAAAAAGAAACCAGGTTTTTAATGTGTCCCAGATACTTACCTTTCTTTGTGTCCTGATTGAGGGATATTATAAGGGAAATGTTATCTGTGGGACATTTTAACAAAGATCTACAAAATAATGATAACAATGTCAGCACTTCCCACTTACTCAATTTTATCCATCAGTTTCATCCTTCCGCGTCTCTTTAGTTCTCTTCAGACTAATGAGATTTCCCTTTTCATAGCAGGATCTTCAGGAATCAGCTCTTTCTCTTTCTACTTTACCCTATACATACTCTTTTTTTTTTTTTTTTTGAGACAGACTCTCGCTCCATCACCCAGGCTGGAGAGTACAGTGGCACGATCTCGGCTCACTGCAACCTCCGCCTCTTGGGTTCAAGCAATTCTCCTGCCTCAGCCTCCTGAGTACCTGGAATTACAGGCGCCTGCCACCATGCCTGGCTAATTTTTGTATTTTTAGTAGAGATGAGGTTTCGCCATGCTGGCCAGGCTGGTCTCAAAACTCCTGACCTCAGGTGATCTGCTCACCTTGGCCTCTTAAAGTGTTGGGATTACAGGCGTGAGCCACCGAGCCCGACCCCTATACATATTCCTAAACGTTGCTCAATCTGTCCCCAGAGTTCTTCACCCACTTCCGAGTCTCTATCCTCTTGCTTCATTTGAGTCTATCTCAGTTTATGACACATTACTGTTTGGGTTCTCAATCATTATCCCAAGAGCCACGATGGCTTTTACTTAGACCAAAGTCGAATTCATCCTTACAACCCACAAGTGAGGTTGATCAGAACCCAGAGAGGTTTAGCAAAGGAGGTTAAAATGAAGTAAATAATTCCAAACTGCATCTTGGGAGAACTAAATCCTCATTGCTGGTCTGCCATGATCATCACTAATATCAAACAACAAGTGTTGGAAACAGCAACCCCCATATGGCATTGGGTAAGTTACAAAACCTCTCTTTGCTTCTGTTCTCCCATCTGTCTTGCAAGAACAATACTTCTTGCTCCCTGGCTCCTAAAGGTATCAAGATAGGGAATGGTTTTTTTGTTTGTTTGTTTTTGAGACAGTGTCTTGCTCTGTCAACAAGGCTGAAGTACAGTGGCATGATCTTGGCTCACTGCAACCTCCACCTCCCGAGTTCAAGTGATTCTCCTGCCTCAGCCTCTCAAGTAGCTGGGACTACAGGTGCACACCACCACGTCCAGCTAATTTTTGTATTTTTAGTAGAGATGGGGTTTCACCATGTTGGCCAGGATGGTCTCGATCTCTTGACCTCATGATCTGCCTGCCTTGGCCTCCCAAAGTTCTGGGATTACAGGAGTGAGCCACAGCGCCCGGCCGGAAAGCATTTTTAAAAAAACGAAACAAAAACAACAGTCTTAAAATAAGACTAAAAAATTGTCAAAATAAATCCCTTGACAAACTTATTAAAAAAAAAACACAGAGATCCAGGCCTGATATCAGGTGTTAATCATGCATCTAACCAAATAATATCTTTCTTTTTTTCTTTTTTTTGACACGGAATCTCGCTCTGTCGCCCAGGCTGGAGTGCAGTGGCCTGATCTTGGCTCACTGCAAGCTCCACCTCCCGGGTTTACGCCATTCTCCTGCCTCAGCCTCCAGAGTAGCTGGGACTACAGGCGCCCGCCACCACGCCCGGCTAGTTTTTTTGTATTTTTTAGTAGAGACGGGGTTTCACCGTGTTAGCCAGGATAGTCTCGATCTCCTGACCTCGTGATCCGCCCGTCTCGGCCTCCCAAAGTGCTGGGATTACAGGCTTGAGCCACCGCGCCCGGCCACCAATATCTTAATTTGGGGGTAGGAGGAGTGCCGAGGGGGGTGGAGGGGGACTTACTATATAGCCAGAAAACTAGGCTAGAACTGTGGCTGTAAATTCACTCTGGCGTGACCGAACAGTACCAATGCCAAGTGTAGCACTCAGATGATGCACCAAAGCCCCCCCAAAATCTAGAAAGAGTTTCCTGGATGCTACCACCAGGATCCAGCCATGGCAACAGGGAGCTTAAAGGTGTAAATGATTAACCTTCAGGATGGCTCACCTAGATGTGCAAACGTTTGAAAAAGCTAAGCTCTCTACCAGGGTAACCCATTGGCTCTCATCTCTTAGATTTCATAAGAGTTTTACCTTCTGGGTAACATTTCAAAGCCCTGCTAAGATTAGTATCTACACCTGAACTCTAGACCATGGCTCCCTTCCAGCTACTATCTCTAGGCTGTCAATCTGGGTTAATTCGCCTATTAAAAAAATTTTTTTTATTTTAAAATCCTGTACTCTAATCATAGGAATTTCAACCAAGTTTCAGCTGGCTTCCGCATCTCACACTCCAGCAGGGACACAAGCCCGAAGGAAGAAAGGTGCTCGTCCATCTCCAGGACGGCTTTCCCCACCTTTTTCCTTTTTGCTTTCCACCTGCATGAAGTTCCCTCTAAAGGTGCATGTCATTTTCTGGCCCTTTAAGTCCCGACACCCCATCCCACCCCGAGTTCCCTTCCATCCTCCGCACTTTCTCCCTCCCCACTTACAGTTTGCCTCGCCTCCCTCGGGGACTTTCTCGGTCCCTCTCCGGGCGTCCTTCTGCACCCCCACCCTTCTCTCTGCAGCGCGACTCCGGCCTTGCTTCCTCTCCCCTGCCCTTTCCCCTCCCCACGACACCGCTGCAGCAGACAACCCCGTCCCAACAGCCGGCGCGTTCCCTGACCTCCCCGCCGCCCCTCACCTCGGCCTCTTTCTCTCGCGCCCCGGAGCCCCGGCCTCCCCACCCCGTCCTCGGGTCCCCGGGGTCCCCCCCCGCCGACCTCGGCCACTCCCTCCCGGTCACTCACAGGAGGCCGGAGCAGGTGGTGCACACGAAGCTGCCCACGGTGATATCCACGTAGGTGACCCCGCGCTGGGCGCACTCGAAGCAGTGGCGATTCCCGGCCTGGCTGCAGCCACCCAGCTCCCGCACCCGACGGCACCACACCTCCGAGGCCGCCTCCGCCTCCGCCTTGCCCCCGCTGACCCCGCCGCCCGGGCCCGGGCCCTTCTTCGCCGCCATCACCATCGCTGCCCACTCCCTCCCCGCTAGTCAGCAATCACCCCTTCAACCACTGCCGCCTTCCCGCCTCCTCAGCCGCCTCCGCACGCCCAGCTCCCCTGACAGAAGCTCGGGAGCGGGCGGTGTCCGCAGGAGACTCCGCCGCCCCCCACCCTCCTTGCCCGTCCTGCACGCTAATTGGCTAGGTTTCTCCCACCTCCTTATTCCGATTGGCCCGCCCTGGGACAGCCTCCCGTTGCTGGAGCCGCCAATGCCACGCCCCACCGCCTTCAGCCCCTAGGCCTCTCCTATTGGCCGGCAGAGACCCCGGCAGCGAGAACTGTGCGTGCCCTCTCCTTGTCCCCGCCCCCTCTCGCCACTGCCTCCACCACGGCCCGCCTCCTAGTTCCGATTGGTGAGTCCTCGGCACTCGTTCTCTGACGCTAACTCTGATTGGCTGGCAGGGCTGCAAAGTTAGCGCGCGAGACAGAGGAGGTGCCCCGCGCGTGCGTAGCTGTGGGCCTCCCGACTGATGACGTTAATTCCCGGCAAATTTCAAAGGCTTATTCTAGACTCTAGAGTGTCATGCAAAGCCGAAGAGAAGTGGCCATGTGAGGGGCTGAGCAGGAGGGGGAAAGAAGAGAGCGCTTAAGGGAGAGAGGGAGAGGGAGCAAGAATGCTTTACTAGACCAGTGCTCTAATTCCTGAGCCACGGAGCTAAGGGAGTGCTTTATAACTGTCATTTCATTCGCTCCGCCTATCACAGAGATGGAATCCCCATTTTACACCCTTAGGTTGGACAACTTGCGGCAGATCACACGAGTATGTGGCCCAGGATTCCATTCTGGGTCTTCCAACTTTAGAAACCCTGCCTTTAACCCTCCTAGTAGGTGGACTAGTATTCGATTATTCATTTAACAAACACTGAGTGTCTGCTAGGTTTCAGGCACGTTCTAGACACTGGGAATAGAATACGGCAGCGAAGCAATCAAACAAAATATTCTTGTAGAGCTTACATTCTAGTAGGGGGAAGCAAACAATACACAAATTAAAGAATCACCAGTTAGTGATAAATCCTATGCAGAGAATTAAAATCAGGTCTTGGAAAAGACTTTTTGGGTACTTTTAAAATTTTTAAATTTAACTTTATCTTTCTGAGATGGAGTCTCACTCTATTGCCCAGGCTGGAGTTCAGTGGCATGATCTCGGCTCACTGCAACCTCTGCCTCCTGGGTTTAAGCAATTCTCATGCCTCAGTCTCCCGAGTAGCTGAGATTACAGGCAGCTGCCACCACCCCCGGATACTTTTTGTATTATTATTATTATTATTGTTATTTTTTCTTTTTTGAGGCGGAGTCTCACCCTGTCGCCCAGGCTGGAGTGCAGTGGCACGATCTCGGCTCACTGCAAGCTTTGCCTCCAGGGTTCACGCCATTCTCCTGCCTCAGCCTCCCAAGTAGCTGGGACTACAGGCACCTGCCACCACACCCGGCTAATTTTTTTGTATTTTTAGTAGAGACGGAGTTTCACCGTGTTAGCCAGGATGGTCTCGATCTCCTGACCTCGTGATCTGCCCGTCTCAGTCTCCCAAAGTGCTGGGATTATAAGCATGAGCCACCGCGCACAGCCAGTTTTTGTATTTTTAGTAGAGACAGGGTTTCACCATGTTGGCCAAGGTGGTCTCAAACTCCTGGCCTCAAGTGAGCCTCCCACCTTGGCCTCCCAAAGTGCTGGGATTACAGGCATGAGCCACAATGCCTGGTGACTTGTTGGGTACTTTAGATTGGGTTGGTCACTGTCATGCACGTCCGTCCGTGTGAAGAGACCACCAAACAGGCTTTGTGTGAGCAATAAAGCTTTTAATCACCTGGGTGCAGGCAGGCTGAGTCCGAAAAGAGAGTCAGCGAAGGGAGATAAGGGTGGGGCCGTTTTATAGGATTTGGGTAGGTAAAGGAAAATTACAGTCAAAGGGGGGTTGTTCTCTGGCGGGCAGGAGTGGGAGTCACAAGGTGCTCAATGGGGGAGCTTTTTGAGCCAGGATGAGCTAGGAAAAGGACTTTCACAAGGTAATGTCATCACTTAAGGCAAGGACCAGCCATTTTCACTTCTTTTGTGGTGGAATGTCATCGGTTAAGGCAGGGCAGGACATTTTCACTTCTTTGTGATTCTTCGGTTACTTCAGGCCATCTGGGCATATACGTGCAAGTCACAGGGGATGCGATGGCTTGACTTGGGCTCAGAGGCCTGACAGTCACCATTTTTAAAACAATGACTTTTTTTTTGAGACAGGGTCTCGCTTTATCGCCCAGGATGGAGTGCAGTGACACAATCATGGCTCACTGCAGCCTCAACCTTCTGGACTCAAGTGGATCCTCCCACCTCAGCCTCCCAAGTAGCTGGGACTACAGCTGTGTGCCACCATGCCTGGCGAATTTTTCAAATTTTTTTGTAGAGACTGGGTCTCACTATATTGCCCAGGCTGGTCTGGACCTCCTGGGCTCAAGTGATCCACTCACCTCAGCCTCCACCTCCCAGGTTCAAGCGATTCTCCTGCCTCAGCCTCCCAAGTAGTTGGGATTACAGGCGCACGCCACCATGTCCAGCTAATTTTTGTATTTTTAGTAGAGATGAGGTTTCACCATGTTGGCCAGGCTGGTCTTGAAGTCCTGACCTCAAGTGATCCACCCGCCTTGGCCTCCCAAAGTGCTAGGATTACAGATGTGAGTCACCGTGCCCGGCCTCTTTTTTTTTTTTTTTTTGAGACAAGGTCTTGCTTTGCTGGCCAGGTTGGAGGGCAGTAGCACAGTCGTAGCTCACTGTAGCCTCAACCTCTCCAGCTCAAGTAATCCTCCCACCTAAGTCTCCAGAGTAGCTCAGACTACAAGCACACACCACCATGCCTGGCTAATTTTTTATTTTTTTGTAGAGAAGGGGTCTCACTATGTTGTCCAGGCTGGTGGCTGGCAGTCTGCTCTCTCTCTCTCTCTCTTTTTTTTTTCTTTTTGAGACAGGGTCTTACTCTATCACCCAGGCTGGAGTACAGTGGCACGATCTTAGCTCACTGCAACCTCCACTTCCTGGTGCTCGAGTGATCCTCCCACCTCAGCCTCCCGAGTATCTGGGACTACAGATGCATGCGACCACGCCCAGCTAATTTTTTGTATTTTTAGCATGTTGGCCAGGCTGGTCTCGAACTCCTGACCTCAGGTGGTCTGCCTGCTTTGACCTCCCAAATTGCTGGGATTACAGGCGTGAGCCACCACACCCAGCCCACTTTTTCAATTAATGGCACCATGAGCCACCTAGTTGCCCAAAGCAAAAATCTAGAGCTACTCTCTTCAATACGGCAGCCACTAATCATATGTGGCTACTTAAGTTTAAATTAAATTAAAATGGGCCTGGTGCGGTGGCTCACACCTGTAATCCCAGCATTTTGGGAGGCTGAGGCAAGCGGATCATGAGGTCAGGAGTTCGAGAAAAGCCTGGCCAACACAGTGAAACCCTGTATCTACTAAAAATACAAAAACTAGCCAGGCGTGGTGGCGGACACCTGTAATCCCAGCTACTTGGGAGGCTGAGTCAGGAGAATTGCTTGAACCTGGGAGGTGGAGGTTGCAGTAAACTGAGATTGTGCCATTGCACTCCAGCCTGGGTGACAGAATGAGACTCTGCACCCGCACCCCCCCCCCCAAAAAAAAAGAAAGAAAAAGGAAAGGAAAGGAAAAGGGGAGACTGAAGGAGGAGTAGGTTAGGGCAGAGGTCCCCAACCCCTGGGCCATGGACCAGTACCTGTCTGGGGCCTGTTAGGAACCAGGCCACGCAGCAGGAAGTAAGTGGTGGGCGACTGAGCAAAGCTTCATCTGTATTTACAGCCACACTACCCATTGCTCCCATTACTGCCTGAGCTCTGCCTCCTGTCAGATCAGCAACAGCATTAGATTCTCATAGGAGCACAAACCCTATTGTGAACTGCCATGCCAGGGATCTAGGTCGTGCACTCCTTATGAGAATCTAATGCTTGATGACCTGTCACTGTCTCCCATCACCCCCAGATGGGACCATCTGGTTGCGGGAAAACAAGCTCAGGGCTCCCACTAATTCTACATGATGGTGAGTTGTATAATTATTTTGTTATACATTACAATATAATAATAATAGAAATAAAGTGCACAGGCTGGGCGCGGTGGCTCACGCCTGTAATCCCAGCACTTTGGGAGCCGAGGCAGGTAGATCACGAGGTCATGAGATCGAGACCATCCTGGCCAACATGGTGAAACCTCATCTCTACTAAAAATACAAAACTTATCTCGGCATGGTGGCACGTGCCTGTAATCCCAGCTACTTGGGAGGCTGAGGCAGGAGAATCGCTTGAACCCGGGAGGCGGAGGTTGCAGTGAGCCAAGATAGCGCCACTGCACTCCAGCCTGGTGACAGAGCGAGACTCTGTTAAAAAAAAAAAAAAAAAAAAAAAGGCCGGGCGCGGTGGCTCAAGCCTGTAATCCCAGCACTTTGGGAGGCCAAGACGGGTGGATCACGAGGTCAGGAGATCGAGACCATCCTGGCGAACACGGTGAAACCCCGTCTCTACTAAAAAATACAAAAAACTAGCCGGGCAAGGTGGCAGGTGCCTATAGTCCCAGCTACTCGGGAGGCTGAGGCAGGAGAATGGCATAAACTCGGGAGGCGGAGCTTGCAGTGAGCTGAGATCCGGCCACTGCACTCCAGCCTGGGTGATAGAGTGAGACTCTGTCTCAAAAAAAAAAAAAAAAAAAGTGCACAATAAACTTAATGTGCTCAAATCATCCCAGAAATCATCCCCCCAACCCCCACCCGCTGGTTAGTGGAAAAATTATCTTCCTGCTCCCTGGTGCCAAAACGGTTGGGGACTGCTGGGTTAGGTGGTGCTGATAGGTAGAAATCAGTAGCTTTGTTTTGGACATGTTGATTTGAGATCCTTGTGCGGCATCCAGTGGGTTGATAAGCAGGCAGGTGGATGTATAGACTGGATTTCCAGGCCAGGTCAGAGCTGGAAATGTAGGTTTAGGAGTCATCGCTTAGACCCATGGGACTGGTTGCTTAGGTACAGCATGTAGAGAGAGACTAGAAGCAGGCCCAGAAGTAAACCCTGGGCACCCAATGTGTACTTTGTCTTTGTTCCTTTTCTCCAGTTATCACAGCCACATGTATTTCAACATCCCTA